GAATAAATCTGTGTCCAATAATTTTGTGTCCAATAATTTGGTGTCGAATCGATCGGTGTCGAATCGTACTGTGGTCAAACGGAACACGCCCTCTTGTAGCCAGGTAAGACGCAGACAAAGTGCCATAGGTGATCGTAGTCAACTCGTAAGCGTCGACTCTGTCGTTAGGATTGTCGCGCCACAGGATTCGCTGCAAGCGCGTTTGCGAAGGGTCTAACAAAACTTGACGGTACATTTTTACTATGTCCGCCGTGAAGGCGTAACGAAAACTGCGAAACCGAATCAGTATAAACATTAAGTCTTGCTGCACGACCGGACCGATCATGAGAGCGTCATTTAAAGACACGCCACTGCTAGTCTTGCAGGACGCGTCAAATACAACGCGTAGTTTGCGTGACTGACTCGTGACCTTGTACACGCAGTGATGCGGTAGGTAGCAGGACATGGAATCGTCAACGGATTGCGAGTCGAGAAGTCGCATATGACCCAACGACAAATACTCCTTGATGAACCGTGTGTACTGATCTTTAAGATCCGGATCGCGTTGAAAGCGTCTTTCCAGGCTCCTCAACCGCTTTAACGCGATGTCACGTGAATCTCCGAGCCTGCGCAACACCTGCTCTTTGATAGGCAGTTTGACTACGAACCTACCCTGTGAGTTTCGAGTTACATTCTTTAAAAAGTGTTGTTCGCACAGGTTCTCGTTAATAGTGTAACTGTTTACCTGGTCGAAATTCTGATCTAATTGCCAGAAGCGACTCAGCTGCTCGTGCAACTGAACATTCGTTACGACGGCATGACACGAGTGTACTTTAGGAGGTGGTTGAGTCGAACCACAAAATCGACCTGCAAGGACCCATCCTAGCAGCGTTTTGTGAAGCGTTGGATGCTTGTTAGAAGCCTTGATCTGCCCTACGCACAGCAGGTCCCAAAATATATTCGCTCCGAGCAAGAGATCCACTTCCGACGAAACATGAAATTGAGGATCGGCCAACCGGAGATTGCGTGGGAGATCTAACGCTCTGCGCTTCAGAGTGAACGCTGGGAGCCTTTTGGTCACACGATCTGTAACAATGCAACTGATGGAATTTGCATATGAATTTAATTGGGACTGTATTCTAACTTGAACTACTTGCGTAGAAGTCGCGGCGGTGCCGCTTATGCCGGAAATAGACACGTTTAGGTACTCCGGCTTTAATCCGAGACGGTTTGCTAGATTCTTTGACATGAAGTTTGCTTGCAAACCGCAATCTAGCAATGCGCGACACGGCGTAAGTGAACCTTGACTATCACACGCGTAAACGATAGCCGTAGACAACATGACGTGACTGCCTCCAACCAAACTAGATACGCTAGTGACAGGGCTAGCTACCTGACTAACCGCTGGAGACCCTTTACTGCCGTCCCCGCCGTGGTCCGAGGAATTTGCTGGTGTCGCCGTTGCGTGAAGCAGCGTATTGTGTTTTGCTTGACAAACTTTACAACTTCCTGACGTACATTTGCTTGAGACGTGGGAAAAGGATCGCAAGCAATTGAGGCACATCTTTCGGCTGCGAGCTTTCGATGTCCTTTGTGATACCGGGAGTCCTAAGAAGCCCTTACAATAATAAATAGAATGTTCACCCTGGCAGTAACTGCACTTAGGTTTGACTGTCGCGACGCAAGATACTTGTTGTTTGGAACTCGATTGCGAACGCGTGTGAATGCTACCACTTCTTGGATTTGAAACGCTCGATTTGTCGGTAGCCTCGAGCATTTGGCATTGATGTGTAAGAAAGGCAAAAAACTGTTTGAGGTTAGGTAATTCAGTGCCCGTGAGAGACGACTGCCACTCGCGTAATGTACGCGGATCGAGCTTTGAACTGAGGACGTGGATTAGCAAGTCGTCCTACTGGTCAACCGGTCGTTTCAATGCCTGAAGGGCGTGTAGGTGTTTTGCGGCTCCGTCCGCGATCTGTCGTAGTTTAGCATAGTTTTCCTTGTTCATCAACGGTAATTCCATGATCGCCTTGATATGATTTTGAACGATAACCCGTTGATTGTCATAACGTTCCCTGAGCAGTTTCCATGCAACGTCGTAATTCGCGTTTGATATTTCCAAGGAATTTACTATATTTTTTGCCTCGTTGGTTAGGGACGCCCTCAGGTACTGAAACTTTTGCACCTTGCTAAGAGATGCATTAGAATGTATAACAGTATTAAAGACATCAAAAAACGGAAACCACTCGTCGTATTTGCCTGAGAACGACGGAAGATCTAATTTCGGCAAACGTACGTGCGTCAAAGATTCCGGCGGTTCGTGGGGTGTTACCGACCGAGAAGATGCATCAGCGCTGCGTGTTGGCGAACTTAATAACTCTCGAATTTTAGCTGACAAGGCATAGAAAGCTTCTTCGAACGTAAAACGTCCTCGCTCTCGGCATTATCGAGCATCTCCAACCGCGTTTGCACTTGGTTATATTCGGACCAATAACTGTCTAACCTCTTTTTTCGCTTCTCGAGTTGAGCCACTACTATCGGGGTAGGACTAGTAATCGCATCTACGTACGTGTTAATTCTCGTACAAGACCCCTTAATGATAGCGCGTTGTTTTTTCAACACGACGGGGTTTTCTTCATTAGACATTTTTACACGGCAAGACAAATTCGCGTAAAAGAACTCGAGAAAATCGTTTGGCTGGCGACGACTACTGAAATGTTACCCCTACCTTACAAGCCGATTGCGCGGCGTCTAGAACACGGCGTGGTTGCTGGACGCCCTCTCTGCAAGGTAAAGACGTCGGATGCGCAGCCCCGAAGTCCGTTGTGTCCTTAGGAATCGAGCGAACTCTTCGACGTAACTTCCTCGGCACTTCCTAACCTTGTGCGCGTGTGTGCGTGCGTAGTCGCTGGTTGAATAATGTCCGAGGTGCTTCCGAGTCGTTCGTTGCTGAGATGAAACAATTTCGCTGAAACCAGTGGTCGCGGCTACGCTGATGTCGTAGATACTGAGAATCTGGCTCGAAGGACCAAATGTTGCGCTTTGAATGTTCATCCGTGTGACCTCCAGGAAAGAGTACTTTGAGAGACACGGGCGGAAGAAATGGAAATCTTCTTTTGCTTTGACGGATTTATTCTACAACTTTCAGCGGACGACCGATACTGGTCTCTTATCTATTTTTACAAAGAACTTTTCTTAACGTACTTGCGAGTGTGTTAGATCGTTGCGGGGGGCGTGTTCCGTTTGATCACAGTACGATTCGACACCGATCGATTCGACACCAAATTATTGGACACAAAATTATTGGACACAGATTTATTCGAC